AAAAAAACGACTGACGTCAAGATCAACTTCAATGGCCTGGATGTAGTGCATGTCTAATTATTTTTTTTTTATAAATTACCTTTAAAAATTTTTCGACGACTAGAAATATTGACCGTCTTCGACTTGATAACACACGTACATTCAAATAAAATAAAATATTCAATCTGAAAGATAAAAAAAAAAAAACAATCCATTTTAAATGCATGACTAAGAAAAAAACAAAAATAATGTTTTTGATTTATATAGTATCCAATTGATACTGTTCATGTAAACTATTTAAATTATTTATCAATTGTTCAAACATTTGTTCATCAAAATCATTTTCTTGCCAACGTTTTGATAATGTTTTATAATTAATTTTTTTCATATTAGTTAATAAATAATCAAAAAATTTCAATGAATATTCATCATCATTAAATAAACCTGTTATAAATGACATATCATCATATTTTTCAATCCATGAATTAGTTGATAAAAACATTTTTGTACCATATTGTTCACGTAAATAACTTGAGATTAATTCTGATGATGTTGATATATTAAAATTATATATTTGTTGATTATATAATTGTTTTTGTTCAATACCACGTATAAAATAATGACAACTAATAGGTTGTTTTAATTTAAATACATCATTTAATTCAAGATAATTAAATAATGTTTTATGATTTAAATTTAATGGAATATGTGAAAATAAATTTAAAAAATTTTTTTTCATTGGACATAAACGATCAGCAAGTAAATCAAGTGTTAATGTTGATGATAATAATGAATGTTGTATTGATAATGATAATTTATATTTATCTAATTCATTTAAATATGTTATTGTTGGCATTTGATTTTCATTTATTGATTGTATTAATGATAATGATAAATTTAATAATGAAGATTTATTATTATCACCTATACCAAATGACCATACAGGATTTTTTGGACATTCATCATGTAAATAATCTTGTATGGATGTAAATAAACCAGAAAAACTATTATTTATATCATATAAACAACGAAAACTTTGTAATGAATCACATGATTCTAATAAATAATGTAATGAATTTTCAATTTGATTAGACATGTTTTTATAAATTTGTTGTCCAATAGAATAAATATCAAATTGATTATCTTGATTATTTGTTGAATAAAACCAATAATCAGTTAATGGTATTAATGATTTTGAATTAAATTTAACTTTTGTTTTTAAATTATTTGACCAAAAACTATTATCAATTTCACGATTTACAATTTCAATTGATGAATCATTATTTTTATTTGATAAATTTAAATTTGTTTCATCTTCATTCAATAAATATCCAAATGTATTTCGATAATCAATTATTAATACACGTGGTGATGGAATATTTGTTTTTTTATTAAATGTATAATATGTATTATAATCAATAAATGTATTATTATTAGTTTGTTCAATATCAAGTTGATTCCATAATTCTGCACCAACATTATTAGAAGCATTTCCAATTTGCAAGGTAACAATTTCGCGTGGCATATCTGAAAGTAAATAATTCAAATGAATTAAACAAAAAAAATTCTATGTTTTAATTTATCTATCACTCCATAAGTTAATTTATAGATATCTGAAGCAAGAAGTTCACCAAAGAATCTAGACTATATGCACTATGAAAACGTAAATTAGCTTTTAATATTCTAAAAACAATTCGTCCCTTTATCTTATTACTACGGTTATTAATAAATTCGTACAGTTTTATTTTAAATAAATGCAAAAATAACAGAAAACTGATTTGCGAATTTCAACTAGAAACTTTTCAAAGAGTATAGTTTTTTTGTGATGTTTTGTCGCTGTTTTTATTCTTGGATACAATTATGGTAATAACATGTCTGTTACATTGTATCGGCAGATTTCATGTTCTTGTTTCAGGATAAAAGCGAATCAAAAGGGTTGAAACTGCTCTCTTTAAGATCTATTTGTATGCAAAACTAGAAAATAAGTTTTCTTTTATCATAATACTCATTTAAAAATGTACTGTAAAAATACATTACCATCGTAACAATAAACTGAGGACATCAGGTTTCTTTACGATATCCATAGTTCGGTTGAATCTGCATAATAATTATAGTCGCGACTGGTTAGAGAACTGCTCTCATGATAGGTTGAGTATCTCCAATATAGATGGCGCCAAGAAAAATCTCACTACCCCATATTGTACAATCGAGTTTTAACTATAGAGAAAAATCAAAAGATGAAATGACCTAAGTATATGTAAAATTTAGCGCATAGGATAAATATTAAGTCAATCATAGCATATCGTAACAACATATTTTATGAAACATGATCCGAAAGGAGTGCTGAAGCATATAGGTACACATTAGAATCACTGCGTGTACAAAATATGCGGACACGAATTCAGCGAGTACTAACGGTCACAGACGGTATAAAAATAATGTCACGTTATCCTATATAAAGTACTTCCTTACAACGTTTCTGCATAAGAAATGTGTTCCAAACGAGATAAAATAAAACAAATTTTTTGTGATTACAAACGAGTATCGCTACATCCTGTATCACATTTTAATCTCATTAGGATTTGTCGAAAAGCTTCTCTTTCCAGTGTAAATGATTTCATATTTTACTACATTAAGATTGCTGATATTATTTATTTAACCTATTGAATTGTGTAAGGACTGAATTCTAGAAACTCTAAGTAAATCTATTCCCAATATTTATGATTTAAGTTTAGTTTCATTTTTCAAATAGATCATTAAATAAAATACGATCCGTTTTCATGTCTAGAATTTCGAATTTAATGTACGAAAGCAGTCAATAATATATTCAATAAAATGTTTACATTGACTAAAAACTATATCGATCGAATTAATTAGAGAGATATGAATAATACATGCAAAATATGTTATAAAAAGGTCAATGTTGCCTTATTTGAAATGTCCAATAAATGTCTTCTAATTCAGATAATAAAGACAATGTCATATTATATTCAATACTATAGTCTTTTTTCTTTGTCACTATGACTCTCAACTAAATCTATTATTTTTTTAATTACACGATTCATTCAATAGAGAATTACTAGAAAAACATCATCAATTTTTCGAATAACATAGTTGTTGTTATCAAAGATGAGAAGTAGTCGAATCCAAAAACTAAAAAGAAAATAGAATTTTAATATTCGCTTTGTCAATCAAAATCTTGCAAAGGAAAATATATTGATAGAAAAAAAAAAATATTTCATTTATCGAATAATCTTTATTCTATGCTTATAAATTACTTAATTTATCGTTTCTGTTGAGAAAGAAATACAAACTATACTTTTTGTTTTCAAATTCACAATAAACTATAATAAAACGATTCATAATTGAAAAACAATATGTTTTACATTTCTTTCCTTCCGTATATGCGCAAAATAAAAAGCAATACGATGAAAGATTTAAAATGGAATTTATGTCTCGTTATCGACATATTATTGATATTTATACGTTGAGTAAGAATGACAGTCAATTGCATTAATAGATTTATTTAAAAAAAAAAGATTCTTTTGTGTCTGTATGCATAATAAATAAAAATGTCATAAGTGGATCAAATTCATTATAATATTTAAAATGCTATGATATGAATTTATTGCTCAAGAGTCCGAGTAAACGATATTTTAAAAACTCAATAAAACAAAAAAATAAATAAATTTCGTATTCTTTATGATACATAAAGTAGATCATTTTTATTTAATATGTTATAAAAAAATGTCTCAATTATTAATAAAAGTATACTATATAGTTGTCATAAAAAATAAATTGAATATATTATATTATATATCGGATATTTATATTTTTTTTCTCAATTTTAATATGTAAAATGCATAATGCATAAACTAATTCGAAAAATTCATTTATTTTGTAATTTTTGTTTTCTTACTTCTAATATAAACTATTCATTTTTGTTCCTATAGTTATCACTTTATATTTTAGGAAAGCTTAATATAATAAAGAAACCATGAAGACAGTTGAGATACAGATAATAGCTGAAATCGGACAGCTGTTAAATGTTCATAGATTCTACACATAATATTGATTTAAAATTTTTTTTATAGAAAAGAACTATGAGTGTTAAGAAAACTTTCTAAGATAAACAAAATAAAAAATTCTCAATGACACAACAAATACTACGTCAGTAGATTCCTAGTTCTGATAAATGTATCCTTGTGCTATTAAGGTTACATACATGAACCCGACACTAGAATCAATAAAAAGCTAATTAGAATAGGAAAAAAAGCGATTTTGAAGATTGTGACTTATAAAACCCAATTCAAGTAATTCTACCTCTGTTTCACTTAATCTTTATCTATGTTCATATCAGTCCCATGTGAAAAAAATTTCATACACAATATAATTATGTTCTTACCTGTATGCTATTCAATAAATAGAACCAATGTTTTTTTTTTAACTTGGACCATAAGAATAAAAAAATATGTTACGGCATTATAATACACATATTTAAATCTTATGATTATTTAACTTATTCTGATCAATAATTTCTTTGATGTTTAATTGAAAGTTTATTAATCATATTCGATACGTACATTCATACACGTATCTCGATCACATATTTCATATAATGACAAAAGATGTATCGAAAAACAAAATAGTAAACAATTGACAAATATAAACCAATGAAAAAATATCTTCTGGAACTAAGTAAAAATTAAGTTTCCTTAAAAAAAAAAGAAATTTTTTTAAATATACTATTTTTTTCAACCAGAATTTGATTTTCAAATTAAAAAAACAAGTTTATTTCAATAGATGTCGCTGTAAAATTAAATATTGGTTAATAAATAATTTACGGATGAAGAAAAAAAAAAAGAATTGTTCTTATGTTTTTGATCAGAAAATACTAGATTTTTCTGGTATTTTCGATACAATTAAAAAGTCTTTTTTTAAGAAATGATATTAATGCATTACTCTATGAAAAAAAAACAGAATATTATTGATATTTCAATTTAGATAATACATTAAAAATCATGTCAACAGCAACCGAACCGAAAACACCTACCACCGAACGGGAGGATTCGGAGACGAGTTATAGTGTTGAAGAGGAAAACGAAACCGATACAGATCATTTTGCATTTGCTAAAGCAAAACTTTTACGAACATCAAGTGTTTTAAATGCTATTATTGATCAAATACATCCGGATATAATAGCAAAGTTTGTTTAGATTTTTTTTGTTTTTTACAGAAAAAAAAAGAAAATTAAAATCTTCATTTAATTTTTTTTTCATATTTTTAGATCACATCAATCAAATTTTGTTTTATTTCCACCAAAATTAGAAGGATGTACGGTTATTGACCTTGGTTGTGGTGTTGGTCGAGATGTTTTTATTTTATCAAAACTTGTTGGAGAACATGGACATGTTATTGGTATTGAATCTGAAAAAGTTCAAGTAAATACTTTTAGATTAAGTCAAAAAAAGCAAATGTTTAATAAAAATCAAAAATTGTAGTGTTTAAAAATCGCCCTATCTAAAGAATATAATATTAAAACAAATTCATAGAATCAATGTCCTTGAAAATAAAAAGATTTTCGAAAGAGAAGTTTTGCTAGGATATAGTTTTAAACATTAGTCATATTCATTCATTATTTCAGAGAGAAAAATACAGTTTAAAATGATATTATCAGTATTTTATCTAGCGTGAAGGACAAAGAAGCGGCAATCCTTCGAAGATAATATTATTTCTCCCAGTGACAAGACCTGAATAAAACACTTTATCTTGTTTTATTTTCCTCTACACTATCTGTTAGTCTGACAGTAAACATTTTCTTTTTTGTTAAAATTGAATTTCATTCTCTCAAGGACATGATATGTGAAAAAGCATTTGTATTAATTTATTTGAGTAATATCTTAAGTGTATCTCCATATAGTATAAAATGATTCTTAAAATTGTTCAATTCGGTTTGTTTTCAATTTTTTTCTCCTGTGGTTAGTGCTGATAAGACTTCAAATAGTGGTTTGTGTTATGCATAGAATTTTTGAAGATAAGAAGGATAGAATCTCTTATAGACGAAATTTTTAGCTTTTAGAATACTAAAACAGAAGTCTGGTTGAATTATCTGAAAGAATAGAGCAAACATTTCTCTATACAATGAAATGTCTTCTAGCTCTTTGAAATGTTTTTCTAGCTACTTTGTGTAATAGCATCATTTGTGTGCCTTCCCTAAGATTGTGCAATCTCGATCGAAAAATATCGTAGAGACTTGGAAAACACTTACGAGGGAACATTCGCAAGTGTCCCATCGTTTTTTTGAGTTCGGACTGTATGCATATGGTAGATCCCAGTGATGTATGAAAAACCCCAGAAGAATAAGTGCCCTTAGGCCTTCTGTCTAGAGTTATAGGCATTTTATCGAAATTTTAGCCTTTGGCATGGTAAATACCGACAAATCAAATGATGGTATTTCGACCTAAGATTTTGCCCACAAATAGATCTATTTGTGAGTAGAATATCCTGAAAATTTCAGCTCAAAAGAATGTTTTATTCCTGAGATATTAAAGTCCCAAAAATCAATAATATCCCACGAAAGATGCTAGAATTTACTGTTTTTTGGGACTTTAATATCTGAGGAATAAAACATTCTTTTGAGCTGAAATTTTCAGTATATTCTACTTACAAATAGATCTATCTGTGGACAAAATCTCAGGTCGAAATACAGTCATTCGATTTATCGGTATATACCATGCCAAAGGCTAAAATTTCGGTAAAATGCCTATAACTCTAGACAGAAGGCCCAAGGGCACTTATTCTTCTGAGGTTTTTCATACATCACTGGGATCTACCTTATGCATAGAGTTCGAACTCAAGAACAATGGGACACTTGGAAATGTTCCCTCATTAGTCATGTAAACAGTTACTTGCTCGATCGTTCTGTATATAACTCAAACATAATTCCTTTTTTACAAATTTCATGATATAACAACCTAGGATTGCGGTTTTTCATAGATTTTATTGTTTTCATCTTCGAAAAATTTTTTGTCATTATCTTTTCACCTTTGAATATTCAACGTAAGAGGTTAGCTAATATTTCAACATATTATCTTTTGATTTTGTTAAGCCTTGGTTCATCGTAAATCAATAGCAACATTTGAAAACAATCAAAATAGATACATGAAATTAACTTGAAAATTACATCAATTGAATCGAAGTTAGCCTTTTCTGTTGTATTTTGAAAAATTTCGTTGTGATTGTCCGTAGAACGTCTAGAAAATATTTGGTTGGCTATTCAGGCATCATTATAAATAAATTTTGATATAACGGTTAATTAATATTCACTATAAAAAAATCAAGATATTTTTAGGAAAGAAAATTTTTAAAGTATTAGTTAGATCTACGGAAGAAAAACAATAGATATTCTAAAGGATATCATTATGTACATCTTATGTTAATTTACTATTCTTGATATCTTTCGGATATCAATTGTAAATTCGTAATGAATGTATTTGAATGAGTTTTAGGTTTATTTATATGAAAGCAAAGATGAAACTAAACGAGAAAATTTTTGTAAAAAGTCTGTAATACATAAGGATGTGTAGTATTCTTGTAAATACTGACAATGAGTAGCCGACACAGAGTTTCGTAAGTAGAACTTATCGGCTTCAAAATTTACGAGCCCTAATTCAACGAGCTCTACTTCTGAGGTACTGATTTCAGTGGCATCAATGTTCACTTCAACATTGACTACACTAACGTTCACATTCTCTACAACATTAGGACATTAACTCAATTAAAATATGTTCTATTAGTAATGGTATGTTCTAGAACTTTTGCGAAGACTGGTGTCAGTGGTCAGTAAACTAAAACTGCACATTTCGGATAAAAAAAATATTTTGCAGCTTTTCGTTTGTTTACCATACTAATAAATAAAATTAGTTGTTGTATTCAGATTTAAAACTCCAGTAGAATCACACACTTCTATCTCCAAAAAGTTTATTTATAATAAAATTTTTATCATTTATTATAGTTGGATTTTGCTCGTAAACATATTGATTATCATGTGAAACAATTCGCACTAAAAAAACCGAATGTTGAATTTATTCAAGGTGAAATTGATCAATTAGAAAAAACACATATTAAAGAAAATTCAATTGATGTTGTTGTGTAAGTTATAATAAAAAAAAAACAGACCAATCAAAATCAAATTCAATCTTGAAATTTATAAATATTTATAGATCAAATAGTGTTATCAATTATCGAAGAAATAAAAAAGCAATTATTGAAGGTGTTTGCAAATTACTCAAAGTAAATAATAATATACTTTATCAAATAAATCATTATGAAGTATACTTTAGCCTGGCGGAGAATTTTATTTTTCGGATGTTTATGTCAATCGACCAATACCTGAAGAACATCAAGAATTATTATCCGGTCCGATATTTATTTATTTACTTGTTTTTTTTTTTTACTTTCAGAAAATAATATTCATTTGGCTTCCTTTTTTTTTCCTAAATACATAGGCGAATATATTGGTGGAGCTCTTCGTTGGGAAGATTTAATATTATATGCAACAGAAGCAGGTTTTACTCAACCACGTTTAGTTACAGCTAAACCAGTAACAATTATAAATGAAGATATTCAAAAAGTTATTGGTAAAGCGAAATTTGTTTCAGCTATATTTCGTTGTTTTAAATTACCAATTAATGATAATGATGCAACAAAATTCAATATACCATATCAATTAACATATGAAACACCATTAGTTAGTTCTGAAGAGGAATTTTTCTTTGATCATTTAACTCAATTTAAAGTAAGGAAGAAAAAAAAACAAATCTTGTTTTTCTTTTTCAGTTAAAGTCAATTGAAAAATTGTCTTTTTATTTTAGCTCGGCGAATTATTGGTCGTAGATGATCCATCAATTGCTCTTGAATTGAATGTATCACGATATAAAGACAATTTTACTTTTGATCCAATTGAAGATGCAAATACTGAAATGGCTACAGTTGAAACGGTTGAAGAAGTAATTATTGTAAGATATGGTTGCCCAGGACGATAAATACGAAATTTGTATACACTCACAAGCGACTGTATACACTACGTATTTCAATGTATATGACCGTATTTTAACGCATTACATGACTCACGAAGGAAAGTGTCTAATTGTTTAATCGCTTTTTTTTTACCAAATTTAGTAGATCATAGCTAATCGGCAATGCTGATTTCGAATACCAATTCAGATCGGTTATTAGAACTTTAGAGATTCATTTTCTAGAGTCTGAGTTTTCGTTCTCGTATTGATGTTCGAAATTCGTATCATCGATTAGATTTAGCAAAAAAGGCTATTAGATAATTAGGCATTTTCTTTTGTCAATATTACGATCGTAATACGGACAAGGGAATCTCTTCTGTTGTCAAATCGCTTTTCGATCGAGACAATGTCTTATTTGATGAGTAATAGAAAAATATAGAATGTTCTGATTTTCAGAGCCTTTTTTTCTTGAGATATCGAAATTTTAATGAATTAAAAAAAAAAGCTGTGATTAAGCTTCGACTTTACACTTTGCACGAAGAAAGTTGTTAATGAGATAGGTTTATTAGAGAAATTTTCTAGCATTTCCTAACCGATATTCAGTATTCGAAATTCTCTCATGTGTGAAAGAAAACTTTGTTCATGCAAAGGTTGAAGTAGACTAGTAACAGTTCGTGATCAAGGAACTGAACTGATATCACTCCTCCAGTTCTTCCGAGAAGAACTAGCCACCGAACGAAATTCTAAAACCAACCGGTCACTGCATCTAGTTCTTAGAACTGTGAGTTATCACAAGTCCCACTGGAAATCGAAACTCAACCACAGGTTTTTGTTGAAAAATCTAGTAAAATTTCGATATTTCAAGAATTAAAACAAGAAAACCAGACCATTATAGACGTTTCTATTATTCATTAAATGAACATCACCTCGGTCGAAAAGCGATTTGACAACTGGAAAAGTTCTCTTGTTAACCATGTAATACGCTAATATATGATAACTTACGATCGTTTGCGAGCGTACTTATTCGACTTGGGCGACCTTTTTTTTTGAAATAATATATGTAATATTTTTAAAAGTAAGTTGCAGTAGATTGAAAACCTTACAACTATCGATATTAGAGTGAAGCAATGAAAAACCATTTTTATTTCCGAAACTCATGTTTGTAGAGTTCAACTTATTATGGATGCAACGATAGAATGATCACTGATTTTAGGTTTAGTGCTGCACTGATCTAGACATACACGTATACAACAACTATAAATGCATGACAAAAATATGGTGTTCTTAGATACATTTTGACTGTGTCAGTCGAGAGGAGCTTTATTGCAAGAAAATAGTTGAGTTGTTGTATCCTAAAAATCTTTAGTATTGTTTTATAAAATTCAGCTATTATGTTAGATTTACCTCTTCGACCGAAAAAAAAACGAAGTCAACCTAAGACCACTATAGTTTTATCATGCATTCACTGTTCGTTTTATACTTACATCTTTAAATTGGTGCAAAACTGTACTTGAAACCAATGTATTACTATCAGTGTTGCACTCCTAGTTCTTATTGTTAGATAATTTTCTTACCCGTTTATGGGCTGATTTTTATCTCGTTATTCAAGGAATCATTGACATTTAAAATTGTTATGATTGTAATGATTCTTTTAAAGAAAAAAATTATCGATTTCAGTTAAGTCTTTTGAATGAAAAAGTTCAATGTTTTTTTTCTATTTACAAGTGGAGATAATAACAAATAATTCTTCAATTTTCTTGTTAGTCATTAGACTATGCAGAAAACTGTTTTCAGAACATCTCTAGATTAAAATAATCACAAAAAGATTCAGATTAATAAAACTTATCTACGACACGATGACAATGCTAATCATTTTCTATCAAAAGCTGAGATATTGTCAGAAAAATTGAACAATGAATTAGTCCCATGAGATTTTATTCATGAATACGTTTAATAAATCTTAAGAATATTCTCATAGACTAAGTCAAAATCGTTGCTTCTTTCTTCAGATATTTCAAAAAGTTCATTAGATTTCACAAACGTTGACAAGTAAAAAATATTGCACTTAAACTTAAATAGAAAAAAACAAGGACTTGGCACTTTTATCTGTCAAACAGCTACTTGCTTCAATGATCTCGTTTTTAGATGGCATTAAAAATTGAACAATTAAAATAAAGAAAACAACTTTATAATTTGAGAAAAAAACCATCCATCATAAATAACTGAAAGATACTGTTTCATACTTCAAATTAAAATGCTTTTCTCAAGACACGAATAGAAGTATAAAAAAAAATACCATTTATAAATATTTGAAATTTTTCTTTTTACATAAAAAACATACAAAAACTAATGATTGGGTAGCATTCTATAGATTAAATAGATAAAATTCAACGATTACGGTTGATATTTAACATGTCAGATGCGTTTTAAATGGAAAGAATGTATTTAGTCAGTAAAATAGATGGAATGGTCAGTATGTTAGATAATTATTGAAATCAGAAAATAAAATTGACTAACAATTAATTAAATCAAAGGATAAATATAGAAAAAGAAATGCGTAAATAGTATGATTCACTTGTTTCTTTGTTTTCTTTTCTGCTTCATTGTATTATGTAGTATAGATTACTATGTACGGCATACATGTAAACAATCTTTGTTTCTATCTTTCTCTTCAATGTTGATTGAGAGCTTACGACCAAAATAGATCGATGTGATAACAAGTTGCTCCATATGAACGTATGGAAATAAAAGACCTTTCCAAAAAAACAAAAAAGAAATCAAATTATTAAGTTAAAGAAACTATATTTAATAATGTTGATGGCATAAAAGTATCAATTAGGAGAAATTAGTCATACCGAAAATGGTAGAACATTTATTACCAATGCAACAAAGTTAAGCATTGCAAGCCTTCATATAGTGCAAATATTTATTTACTATGGCATGCAGACAATGACATAATTTAGTATTTATAAAACTGAGCCTGAGCACAACGATCATAATAATGTGTGGATGTGAATGAAGTAAAAACCTATTCGAGGTCATATTGTACTTTATAGAGATTAAAACAAGCTTGTTGTACAATCTTCGTGGGATTAAAATGTTAAATACGATATATTTGCAGTTGCTAATCATAGGGAAATTGTTTTATTCTATCTATTTGGACACATATTTCTTCACCATCATTTCATTTAATCGTTAAGAAATGCAATAAGGTAATAGTTTAGATGAGAAAATTAGATGTTATTCATATACGGTCTTTTATCGTATATCAACAATATTTGTGATGGTTTCTAATAAGCATTTGTTACGATCTGTGAAAAGCCTAAATGTTTACTTTAGATTATGTTTCACAAAAAAATTTTACTTATGAAATCTATATTTTTCACTTACCGAATTAATATTTTTTTACTAACATAAAATATACTTCTTCTGTATCAATTATAAATAATAAACTGATCATTGCTATATTTTTTTTATAATTGATCACGTAAATCACAGTCATTTTTTATTTGTTGTGCTTATAAGTTTTAATGTTATCATTTCGTTTTTTTTTCTAAATGAAAATAAAGGGAACGATGCATTTATATTTCAAATTATCGGTGCAAGTTGGAAAAGTTGTAGTCGTCTAGCACTCTACATATAATTATAAATAGAATTTCAATTAAAAAATTTCTTTGTTTAATTTCTTTGACAATATCTTTGTTCTACGAAAAGAACTCTTCGGATCCGAAACCAGTCGAAGCTTACTTTGATACCTTCAATGAAGTTTTCTAATCAGAATAGGATAGCCACATCGTAGTCGCAAGATACCTTTTTTCAATTCTTTTCTTATGTCGAACATATAAACTTAAAACTAATAAACTATTTTTGACAATTTTCTCGTGAGTTTTTAATTAACTAATGCAATATTTGTAAACTGCAGGATAAACAACGTAATTGCATAGTTTAGACGAGCTCTATTATGTCTGTTAACAGCAAATGTATTTTTTTTAGAACAAGTCAACTAAAATTCTATGTTTAGCATAATATATTTTGATACTTATTTATCGATCAAAATTCTTGCACTTAAACTTACTGCTATTACCACTGATATCTATGTTAGAACACAACAAATATTGATAAGACTTGCTTTACTATATTTCGACATCACTCTCTATTTAATTTCTGAGGACGTAAATTCACTAGGCTTCGCCATCCAAAGGTTAATGAGATATTCATAATCATTAAATGTTTAGTCTGTAAAATATATATACATATATCGGAAAAGATGAATAATTCTTTTTTTTTTTTTTTATTTTTCTTTTTATAGTTACATGGTGGCAATGATGACCAAACTGGAGAAGTCTATCAAAAAAAAACAAAGATAACAACAACGATGACATCGAACGATTAATTTTTATGACACAAAAACAAAAAACAATGTAGATAACAAGGGAAAAGACTCATTGAACTGTTGTTTGCTATGCCGGTGTGCTCATTTTCTTCCGTTCTTGTATAACGAAAAAAAAAGAAAACAAAACACACATGATTAATTTAGCTTGATTTTTGCTCATAAATATATAATCAGATATTTAAAAAAAAAAGAAAAAAAAACAGAAACAAACATTCTTTTAGATATATCTTTCGTATTCTTTTCATCTAACAGATGGTATATAATTTGTCGTCATTTATCTACACTAATTGTACGTCTAAATACTAATCGATTATTATCAAATTTAGCATGTACATTGATACAAAGAAAAGTTAATCGTCATAATAAACATAGTATAACAATAAATGCATCATCAATTAATGAAAAACAGACATCAAATATATGGAATGATAAACTATCTTTTCAATTTCCACCTGGTAAACCGAATGATAAACCAACAATTGAACATTTACGTTATATTGAAAATCAACTTAAACAAATCGTAAATGAATTATTTATTTTAATTCTTTACATATCCATGTTTTCTTTCAGTTACCGGATTTTGCAAACGAATGCATCCATATGCTCTTTATACAGGTGACATAATTTTTGAAAATTATTATCAAGATTCACCCAAAATTATTAAGTACGCAAAGAAAAAAATTGAATTTAAAAATGAATGAATCCATGAAATATAATCAAAATGAAAGTCATAATCATTTAGTAGATTGATGTTTACTAGATTCATTATTTGAGTACCGTCAATATTTGTCACATGTGTTTTATTGGTTTTTCAAGTCTAATATTACATCTATTTACAGGCAAGCTTTGCTGACATATCAGTTGCATTTTATGTAGATCATATAGCTGATAAAGTTTTAACTGCTCTTCTTTTTGTATATAATAACGGGCGATGCTAAAGTTTTGCATTAATTTTATTTGCATTATAGTGTGATAAGAATTCGTGATAGAGGCTTGATAGTTTTCTTTCAAAAAGTTGCTCTTATTTTATGTCTTTCATTGAGTTTTATAACATTACGATAGAGTATTGAAAATCGGCGAAAATAAAATTTTCATGTTATCAGTTAAGTTCAAACTTGACATTTTTATAATGGCCTTTACAAATAATAAGTGGTTTCAAAAAAAAAAAAGAGATTTCGTTTCAGCGTCGAAGTTATTCAAAGATATATTATGAAAAAAATTTTATTGGTCATTATGCAGAGTGAAGCAATTATCTAATAAAACTATTTTCTATGAAACCTATAGTTTTATAACTCGAATATTTTGATATCATTGCACGGGTTACACTTGCACATAACGTGCTTGAAAATTTTGAAAGCTGAGTGCAAGACTAATCTCACCACTGATTTTCTGTTAGGTGACAAGACATTGTTTCAATCAAGCATATTCTTCAAACAGCTTTGCTCTTCCTAACAAGACAACTATTGAGTTTCCACGACGAATTTTTGCCATGCTAAACTGAAAACAAAATTAATGCAGAACTTTTGTATCATGTGTTACTTTCAAATTGCTATTGTACATATTTTTAAAAGTCGAATATGAATTGTAGTACAAATAAGCCGTATGAATCTTGAGGCCCGATTAGAAATGTGTAGGATTGAGAACACGTGGAAGAGAAGCTGCTGAGACGAAAACGGGAACTGAAGACTTAAGTAAAATACTTGATATATTTAAGCAAATTATCTTATGAATCATATGTTATCAGAGCATAATTCAAGAGAGATGACTCAAAAATGTGCCAGTCTTCGACTAAATAAATAAGAAAAATTAGTTCTGAAGAACTATGTTAGATGTCATAGAGATAATTTCTGGAATAGATTTTTCTAGACCAGGGTCAGAAGCTGAAATACTAAAATTGCTCGAACCTGAACCAGAACCATTAGAAAAGAAGTAACCGGTACCAAAAAAAATTGGTCTCGTACACATCTAGTCTCGACAGATGAGACTAATGTACCGAACACCGTATAAATTCGGTTTAAGCATAAGAATAAAATCATGGTTCAATAAATTTCTTCGTCTTTGAAAATTTTGCTTTTTGTTTGTCTATCAAAGACAGCAATGAAGTCTTCTAATTATTTACGGGTTCGTAAGCAGTAAATGTTTAGTCATTCATTTTTTCAATTTGAAATCGCTCAAGCATAATCGAATTCGAAGAACTTAACTCCTATTAAACATCTATTTCAGAATCTATTCAAAATTTTTGTATAGACAACATACAAATTCAATTATATTGGCCAGATTTCAATGTGAAACAACAAAGTGTTAAATAGATTCTGCTTATGAACACATGAATGAATAGAATAGAACACTTTATCAATGCTTCTGATAGAAAACAAAAGGTTATCCTTTCCTTATGCGAGAAGTTTTTTTCAACTTTTAACCTTTTATCGTCACTTGTATGATTAAGCTGAATTTGTACAATGTTCTGTATGTTAGGCACAACTGTCGTACACTCGACAGGGTCATTGTACCGAGAATATGTCATACTTCTACATATTACAACAGTAAAAGTGCTTATAAGAATACAAAAGTGCAAAGCATGTTGCTTTCCATTTAGTTAAGTGTCACATCAGAGAAAGACAAGTACACAACCAATGCATCAAGAATAATTTCTGAAAGAGCAAGAAGTAAATAAAAAAAAAGTTTCTAGATATAACTCAATGTTAAGCATTCTCAATACTAAGTTCATTCATATAGATCAGTCAAAGTTGATTGAATAGTTAAGATTTTGAGTCAATTTTGAATTCTATCTATGAGAAAATGATTGAAATTTAAGTAGATATTCTCTGTAACTAGCTTTGGTTGACAAGATATGTATTTACATGGCTTATTATAATTTTACAATTATCAAGGATAAAAGAAAATGTGACACGTTAAGCCTATTTATTAATAGACTAATTATTTTGAAATGAACTTGAGATAATTGAAAATTTTGTTTTAGACAGCTTCATATAGCACTGTTATATATATATTGAAAACATTCTCTATCAGAATAAGGCAAAACAAGTTGATATTCTTGTGAGCTTTTCTTAGTGAACAAGAACTCTTATAAAGAATTCTTATATCTAAGAACAAAGTTTGAAAACTAAAGGTTTCATGACACATATTAAAATAATCCTTATTCACTCGGCTAACAATAATAGTCTTTTTGCTTATAACAAAACAGAACATATTTAATTTTAGAGGAGCTGATAGTTATGCTTTATCATTATTTTGAATTCGACTGAAATTAAATTTTAAATTAATGAATTTAACTATTCATTTGCTTAAAACAAATATTGATGAAGAATCAAATTGTGTTCAAATTCGTTGGCGCATATCATGTCTAACAAATAAATCTCTTGGTGGTATTCTTAAAGGTTGGAAAAAACTAATAGCTGTAGCTAAAAATATACGTGATTATGTTGAGTAAGAATATGAAAACAATAAATCTTTGTTAGTCTTCTTTTATCAAAAATATATTGATGGTCTTTCAACATTTTATGTACGTGGCGATGGTCGGATATATAAACATCGTGTTGATCGAGTACATTAATTAACATTCTAAGTCATTTTTTTTGTTTAAAAAAGTTTTTTTAAAGGTAACAATCGATGAAGACGATGAATCTGTTAAAAAGTTATTAAATAAAAAGAACTAACTGTGACACTAACTGTCACTTTTACAGCTATTTTTAATCAGTATATTATAAAGAATGTGTGTCATTGTTTTGTTTTTCAGATCAATTATTCGTAATTTTTATAGATAATTTCATTATTTTCATATTTTATATATCAAATAAAAAGCAGGTAAACAAAAACCAACAATAAAATAGTGTCCTTTTTGCATGTCCATCTGATATGATTACTAGTCGATGTAGAAATTTATTGTGCTTTGTTTCTCTCTTGAGACTGATGTTATGTTAGCAAAATAGTGGAATGAAGCAAAACTGACATGTTTTACCCCATAGGTTTTCTTTTACATATATTATGTAGTGGTGTTCGTCGAGCAAGAAAAAAAAAAGGAATGTTTCATGCTTGATGAAAACATTCTTTCGAGATAATTTTGTTTTTCTTTTTTTTCTCTATGGATCTATGACGTAAGTTAAGTATTTGATGTTAATTATTTTTATGCAAAAATATAAAATTAATACTACAGATCTTTTAAGAACTTTGAACTCACTTCAATAAAATATCTTTGTTTTGTTTTTTGATGGCAACAAATCGTGCTACAGACGTGGGACGTCATTTAATGGATGATATCAAAAATACTATAATCATGCCCGTACGATTATTAGAACGAATTATACCAGATGTAATATTAAAAACTCTTGTTACTAGTGGTAAGATTTACTAGAACTAATCAAACACATTGGTTATTTAACACTGACACATATACTATATATTTGTATATATATATATGTCTTCAATTTTGCACTCTGCATCGTGCTTTTAGTTTGAATAATAATAATGATGATGAGTGACCTTTCGAATGGCGCAAGATACTCTCACTGAAATATGAATAAGAAAAGAGAAAAAAAAAGAAGAACACATAGTTTTTTTTCGAATCGTTCTTCCATATTACCGCATTCTGGCTCTATCTCAGTCCACTTGTTTGCGTTGTTCTGTTTTTCTTCATCTCGTTTGTTGTCTTTGACTCTTTCTCTTGTTCTTCACTTCTTTTGCCGTCGATAACTAAACTGAAAGAGATGCCACATCGTATGCGCAAAATTGTTTCGAAATGTCGTCCACCATTTATCGGAACACGTCGTAATCGACATAAACATGGTTCTGCTCATCATTGTATGTGTCAAAGTAATTTAAGTTGTTTTTCTTTTTCTTTTATTTGATCACAAAGACAATATTGATTATCAATAGTCAATATCATTATTCGATCATTCGCTTTTTTTTTTCATTTCTTTCTTTCATCAATTATGAAAAGTTATACATATATTAACGGATGATATTGTTTTTCTATCTTGTTATCAATGACTTTTGTTGAAACTTGTTTTGCTTTTATTTTAATCTTCATCTAAACAAGCTTATTTATTAAATCATGAGTGTGCTTCGAGTAAAACATATCGGACCATAATTATTTTATTAACAACGATAAATAGATAGTACAACAAGATATATGAAAAAGAAACTCGTTTTTTCTTATTTAAAAAAAATATCCTGTTTAAGTGACTGTTATTACTACAACAGCTGCTTTAACAATAAATAGAAATATCTACAAAAAAAAAGGAAAAAAACTAATAACAATAAATTTTTGTCGTTTTTTTTAATTTAATTTTATTATTTAGATTCCAACAACACTAATACGAATACTAATTTAATTGAGATTACTTCTGATGATGCTCAGACGACGAATAATTCTAATCCAATATTAAAATATTCACCTCAATTATCAACTTATTCAAGTAATAAAGATTGTGGTAAGTAGTGTAGATAAAAAATTTAAGGAAAAACACAAAAATAAAGAAAATTCAACGTTTTTGGTTTTTTTTATATAGGTAGTCAATCTCCTTCATTATCATCAAACTATCCAGCAATATCACATACCATGCAAAATACAGCTAGCTCATCTAATTTAGGTGCTATAGGTACGGGTATTGTACCACCACCAATGCATTATCAAGAACAACCGCAATATATGCAATCAACAACACCATCATTTGCAAATGGAAAAGATGAAATGCGTGGATGGTTATATAAATGGACAAATGTACACGAAAAAAAAAAGACAAATCTTTTGTTTTTCTTATTCAATAAAATTTTGTTTGTTTTTTTTTCTTCTAGTATTTAAAAGGTTATCAAAAACGTTGGTTTGTTTTACAAGCTGGAATATTATCATATTATCGTTCACAAGATGAAATGACACATACATGTCGTGGTACAGTTTATCTTGAGTCCGCACAATTATCATCAAATGATTCATGTCATTTTGTTATATCAAATGGTTCTACCATAATACATTTACGCACAAGTAATGAAAATGATAAACAACGTTGGATGAATGCATTAGAATTAACTAAACAAAAAGCATTGAAAGTACGAAAACAATATCAAGATTCTGATGATGAAGGATTAACAAATGATGATTTAAATAAACAACAACAAGATAATTCAAATGATCAAACAAAACAATCAACAAATACAACAGATCGAGTAGAATTAGCAACAATGAACAAAACATTAGATACAAAATTAGATGATCTTAAAATGTGTATGGATTTAATAAATCGTCATTATCAGGCACTTCATAGAACACTTGCAGATCTTGAACAAATTGATAAATCCGAAGCAACTATAAATACTATTAAAAGTGTTAATGAACGTGCTACATTGTTCCGTATTACATCGACAGGTAAACGAGTCTATTCGTGATGAATGTTTTTTTTCTTTTTTCATTACGGCTTCGGTCTGTTAGAAGAAAAACTATATAAAGAACAAAGAGGAAGATGTTTTTTAATCTCCGAGCATTTACAAATAAAGCATGTATTTTAACACTAATATCGTTAATTGGACTATTTCATTTCAGTAAAGTATTTAAATATACCGAAAATCTAATAGCTAAGTCTTGCTCATATAATAACATTCCTAATTAAATGTTCTATTTTTTATTTGAATGTCATATTAACCTTCAATTCTCCAAGCTGCGAATTAAATTATTTTTTAAAATCTAATATTTTATTTAAGCAATGCTTAATGCATGTCAAGAATTAGTACAATTAATTCAAAAACAAGGTCGTAAATGGCAAAAAGCTATTCAATTTGAACGCGATGCACGTATTCGTATGGAGCGTATGTGTGAACAAGTTGCATTACAAAGTGCTAAATTAGAAAAAAGAATACAACGTGCATCACGTAAAGATCAAAATGCAATAAAAACATCTGATATACGTAATACTAATGAAGATAGTCTTTCATCTGATAGTGATGAATTTCACGATGCTGAAAGTGCCTTTCGTATTCCGTATGTTAAAAACAGAACAAGAAAAATATATTGAAACTTTGTATTTCATTTTTGTAAATTGCTATAGACTTCAACAGCATGCATCAAATAATGACAATCAATCAACAAATATTGTTGATGATGATGTTAGCTCATATGATGATGATGATGATGAAAGTGAATCAGAAGAACAAGAAGAAGAAAATTTACCCGTAGTTATTGTAAAAAGTATGTTTAAAACTGATATTTATTCTACTATTGACCTATTGAAAACAATTTCTAAGGATCAAAACAACCTGAGACAACAAACAATACTCCATCAACAACACCTGCAGTTAAAACTACAAATAATGGTCAAAAATCTGCTACATCAAAACGTAAACGTCGTGACCGTATACTAGAACGTCCAAATTATAGGTTTAATTGTGTTAAATTCACTATACAAAAACGTTAATAAGATTTGTTTTTCTTTTTTCATTTCCTTTAGTATTAATTTATGGAGTATAATTAAAAATTGTGTTGGAAAAGATTTATCAAAAATTCCAGTACCAGTTAATTTCAGTGAACCACTGTCAATGTTACAACGTATAACTGAAGAACTTGAATATAGTTCTGTACTTGATGCAGCAGCTAAAACAAACAATAGTTGGGAACAATTAGCATATGTTGCTGCATTTACAGTTTCATCCTATTCAACAACAGCAACACGAACTAATAAACCTTTTAATCCATTACTTGGTGAAACATTTGAATGTGATAGAACAGACGATCTTGGCTGGAGATCAATGTCTGGTAAAGAATTTTTTTAAATATTTAATCTTTTAATAGAAAATAATGTTTTTTTTTTTTGTATTTAGAACAAGTTGGTCATCATCCGCCAGCTGTTGCAACGCATTCTGAAGGACAGGGTTGGACTTTATATCAAGAGTTTACTATGGGATCGAAATTTCGGGGGCAATATTTAAGTATAACACCGTTAGGTAAGATTATATTTGTTAATTTATATTTTGTTAATAAAAATCTTCTCAAGTTACAAAAACAAATTGCACTACTCACACTAATCCTTAATCATGACTGAAAATTTTGGCATTCTTGCTCAGAACGAAATCACATTACAAAAGATTCTCTATTTTGAAAACTTGGATAGAACTAATAAAATATTCAGTCAATAAATGAGCGAATTTCCGTTAGAATATTTAGTTTTATACAGATTAAACTGATGTGCGACATCAATTTTACTCTCGGTCTCGGTGACCCAGACCATGGCGAAAAAATTTGTCAAGAGCATGATCGGAACCAGAACTACGAGAAAAAAGTTGTCCTAGTCGGAAATGAATATTATAGTTAAATATTTGATGATTTTAAGTGAGTTATCTTGTAAATCATGTCAATTAGGATATAACTCAAAAAGCATGATCTAAAAAAAAAAGAAGGCTCTAGCCGTCCAGCCATAAATAAATAAAACGAATATTAAAGAATTCATTTAGATGTGTTACAAATAAATGCTTAATCAGAATCGACAGAAAAAAATTACAGTGATTGAGATCAATAAAACTTGTTTCCAGGCACCATTAATCTACATTTATTAATCAGAGTGAAATGACTTGAGACGTGCGGAACCAACTTTATTATTGATGATAACAGCCAAAATCATAAGAAAAACTCGTCGAACTAGAACTAAAAACTACTGTTAAATGTTCCGTAGTTTTAAGAAAATTGGCTGATAAATCATACCTATCAGAATATACTTCAGGAGAGATCAAATAAGATTTATCGAGGCTATGATGAGAACAACTCGAAAAGAATTTTATAGGAAAGTCTTTGTAGAAAAAATTTGTTTATTTTTTGGACACTTAGAAACAATTATTGAAAATCAAACACAATCAGTTAAATTTTGAATTATGTGCTCTTTCTGAATATATTTGCAGAATTTTCATTTGACGAAAGCTTTCTCAACTATCAGAAATTTTTTCACAGGATTCAAAATGATATCTGTGTAAGAATTTTATTTTATCCAATTTTGTATTTTAATTAAAACCACTTAAATACAAAATGTAAAGTGGCTTTGAATAGTTTAGTCTTGTAGAGAGAACTTTCGATCTTATGGTACATTAATGATTCAAATTATTTTATATTATTAAAGAAGTAATTTTTTACGAATATTACATTAACATAGAAAGCAACCGTTCCAAAAAAAAACAAATTCATAATTAACTGTTCAAAAATACAAATCGAACTAATCAAGAATAGCGAAATATTCCCTATATTGTTTTCCTACACACATCATTATAGATTAAAAATGTACGGAATCAAAGAAAAAACTTGGTCCAACATATGTTAATTTAAATGTTTTAAAAAGCTTTCTCATAGTAAACCAAGTATTCGTCGAAAGAAAATTCTGTTTCAAACAAATTGTTTTTAGCTCTTAACAATTACTTCTAAACATTCGAAAAATGATCGAACATTTTATACAAAGACTTTCGAGTTGTAGATTAGAAATATTTTAATTATACATCTTTTGAGATCTACTTTAAATATTTATTCGATGAATAGAAATCAATTTTAATTTCAGGTTATTCTCATCTTATATTCAAAAATACTGGTAATCATTTTACATGGAAAAAAGTAACTACACTTGTTAATAATATAATTGTTGGTAAGCTTTGGATAGATAATGTATGTTAAATAGTAAATTTTCATTTAAATTCTATCATATTCTTTTGTTTTTTTTTTATTATAGGTAGGTGAAATGGATATAATTAATCATACAACAAAAGATATATGTAAATTAAAATATTTTCAATATAGTTATTTTTCAAAAGATGTTCCACATAAAGTAACCGGTGTTATAATTGATTCAAATTCTCAGGCTCGATGGGTATTATCTGGTAAAACGGGAAAAAAATTCGATTATTTCTTTTTTGTATTAATTAGTTTCTTTTTTTTTCTTCTACTTTCAAGGTACATGGACAGAAAAAATTGAAGGTGGTCCTGTTGAATCAACATCTGATCGTCATACACATTCCCAACATATGGAGACACATAATATGAAAGTATTATGGCAACGTAAAATCCCACCAGCATATATGGAAAAAATGTATAATTTTACTGAACTAGCTATTGAATTAAATGAAGATGAACCAGGTGTTGCACCGACTGATTCTCGTCGTCGTCCCGATCAACGTTTAATGGAAGAAGGACGTTGGGATGAAGCAAATCAAGAAAAATTACGTCTTGAAGAAAAACAACGGCATGCAAGAAAAATTCGTGAAGCACAAGGAAATGATATTGATCCCTTTAAACCAAAATGGTTTATTAAACAATTTGATCCAATGACTAATTCTGACACGCATGTATTTACAAATGAATATTGGAATGCTAAATTAAAACAAGATTGGTCTAGATGTGATGATATATTTTAACCACAAAACAACAAAGAAATATTATAATTACCCAAATCATCTATTAGTTTTTTCGGTCTTTTTTAATTTATTATTAAATAGAAACTGTTTTGTTCTTTTCTTTCTTTTTCGTATTTATCGTCTGCTATATTCAATGCAAAACATCTGTTCTGCTTTCTATGATTGTGAATTTTTTTAAAAGAAAGCAATTTATGTAAAGAGAAAGAGATAAAAAAAAAAGAGAGTTTGGAAAATAACAAGTAAATATTATTTGTTGAAGTTTCCTGTTGCTTTTTTATATTCAGTAATTATTATTTTAGATAGGATGAAAATACGAGATAAAACAATTTCTAGAATAATTTGTTCATGATGATTAAATTTATATTGATTATACTTATTTCTTATTGTTCAGCTGAGAACGATTCTTTTCTTGGTATGTATTAAATCAATCTTAAAGTTTTGAGTTTAAATAGAATTCGATGACTCTTTCTTGTTCGAATGCTGACAATGTACAAAAAAATTTTCAGTTTATTAATGATATTTCTAGTCAATAGGAACTATTGAATTTGAATCTGGAATGAATCTATCTAAATCAAAATTCAGAATAGAAAGAGGTATAAATTATGGTATTATTGATATATCATCTTATGATTTGTTTTCCTTTCTTCAAATACAATGTTGAATATATTTAACTCCTGTCTTGATATCATATGACAACATATATCGTGATTATTTTGTACACTTGAAATCTTGAATCACATGTCTCCGTGATTAAATGAGCACGAATGGAAATGACCGTTTTAGATGGTTTTTTTTTGTTGTGTGGTCAACGCAGTCTTATGAACAGAATCCGTCAGATCAAAAATTTTCGGACCCAGTCTAGTCGAGTAGTGTTTAAAGACTAAGAAATAGAAATTCCTTCACAGCTCTATGATTGCTGAAATAGAAAATAGTACAATATTTATGATATTTTTCTGTTTCATATTCCTAGCCATCAGAAAATTTATAAACATAAATGTATGGGCATAAAAACGATTGAAGAAAAAACATCAATTTAGTTTTTATGAATAGTAGCCCTGTAAAGGAACTAACGATCAAATCTCGTTTCTCCGAGGAATTATCATAATTTCGCTGAGAGTTTCTTCGCAACTTATGAAATCCTGTCACTCGAATTCTTTGCTGAATCAGAGTCTGTGACCAACTCGACGGGCTCTAAGTAAGACTCTATTCCATTGTGTTGTGAACGGCTAGATACTCGATTTTCAAACCGTTACTAAGTGCATACGGCATAATAACAAACGATTGAAATACTGCGCCTACCAAATGTAAAATTACAGGTATTTATGACTGCGAACTGTATGAAATGATAATATATGATACTCTGCTTGATCATTTTGGCAACTATAATTATCATTCTGAGCTTCTTTCAATATGTTATATAATATTTTAATTTTTTTTTTTGTTGCTATAAATTTGATTTCAATCTAGGTTATGATTTTGGACAATATTATTCTCGTATTCGTATTTATGAATATACGGATTATACCGATGTAAAATTTCTAAAATTTAATATATATGGTCCAACCGAATTGGCTAATTGGTCAATAATTATTGGCACAGAAGGAAAATGTACCAATTATCTTGCTAATATTCATTTGTATAATGAAACGAAAATAAATCTTATTTTTTTTTGTTATAAAAGTTATTGTTTTTCCTAATTAGTGATCTTCAATATGGTGCTTATCCATTGATTACTCCACGAAATGAATCATTTCCTGAAACGTATATAACTAGTCGTCATGATTTAATTACAACAGTATTCAATCGAACAGTATCTAATGGAACGCTTCAGTTGAAAAATCCTTTGAGAGGAACATGGTTTGCTGTGGTAAATAAAAGGAAAAAGGTTTTAAACATTTTTTTATCGTTGAATTAATTTCTTTCAGGTATTCGTTGAACGTTTGCCAACAAATACTCAATCTAAAGTATGTAAATAAAACGTATATTTTTTTTATGCTAATAATAAATATATAGAAATCTTCCAGTAACTGTAATATTTATCTAACTACTTGGCTTGATTATAAAGTTGTACCAGTCCCATTAATACTAACTCTTAATCAACAACATCAAATTATTCTATCAAATAATTCAACATTTGTTTATGCATCGTAAATAACTTTTACATTTTAATATTACATCGCTTTATTAACCATGTAATCATAACGATCCTAACGTATTATTTAACTCCCAACAAAAGATCATGTAGAAGGAAAAAGCAACAGAGATAATCTCTATTTTGTTAAGTACTATTTCGAATTTTACATTTTATATAAAGTTATCAACATTGTAACTAGCACGAATCTGTTGTACAAACTTTTTGAGATTTTTACAAATTAAGAGCCCGTTAACAGTTAGTGAACATATAGTAGATCACAATATAAGGAAGTGCAACTGTATTTCATGGGTGATAGAATATTTTCAAACGAGACAAAACTTCGCCTAATGAAACCAAAAATCTGGTAAATATTCACTCGAAATGACCAAGGTAATTGTTTAAAGAATTCGACTAAGAATGTTTGGCACTAGAAGTTGTCATCACAAAATATTACAATATCTCTTACTACTATATTTTTCTATATCAGAAAATGACTTCGTGATGTTTAAGTGTTTTTTTTTCTCCAAAAACTACACCTACACAGAGGTCGGCAGTCAGAAAAAAGATACAATAACATTTTGTCCATACGATGAAAAGTCCGATTACTGAATATTTTACAGATCTCCACTTGCTTATTATAGAGTAGTTTAGATATATGAACGATAGAATTGGACAAGCAAAATATTTATATGATGTTTTTCTTGTTTAGATATTATACATCTACAGGCAATTCTCGACTTACTCTTTTATCCCAATGGCTTTCTGATTGTGATATAGTCATTCGAGTACGACTCAATGGATTGCCAAGTATTTCTCAATATGATTATCAAACTGGTTTGCTTTATTAAGAAAATTCAATGTTCCGAAAAAAAAATGATGCTTTGTTTAGTTTGTAAAAACGGTTCATGTTCTTCTATAGAAATTGATCAATTAGCTGCATTTATTTGGATTTATTTTCAAATCTCGGTGAATAATTTATCATGTTTAAATAACCCTATTAATGGTTCTATGCTTATTCGTTCAACAGGTTATTCATTTCATAATTAAACTCTAAATTATTAATTTCAGAAGAAAAACTTCTTCTTTAGATTGTTCATCTTATTCATATAATGATACTTGTATTCAATCATATCCAATTCGACGCATTATGTTTAATTATTATTTTGATTTTTTATATGTACCTATGGATACAAATACTAATGTTAGTTCAATAACATTGAATGGAAGTGATTTATCTATATATTCATATGAATTTATTGTTGATGATAAAAATATTGGTGGAACAATACATATTGATTTTGAAACTCAAATTAAGGTAGAAAATTGATTTACATTGACTAACGAACTTATACAAATAGATTTTTTTTTCTCTATCTGAAATGCTTAGCAGAGTGTATAGAATACAAAAATTTATATATAAATGATTACTAGATTCCTAAGACGAGATTTCTAGAAAATCAAGTCTTTAGTTTTCAGTCTAGGTTTGAGCCAATCAGCTTACATCTATGATACCTAGAACATGCAAACAATTTCCAATAAAGCTAATTGTCTCGGAGTTTGGTGCGACGTTCTTTAGATGAGATACAATAATCTTATGAAAGCTCCTGACGTCATTTACTACTTTTCTATGAAAAGTTCGATATTGAACTGTCAATCTGATTATTATATTTCAGCCAAAGAGAACTGTACATAACTCGAAATAAACTCATTTTTGTAGAACATTGTTCGTTCTATTGTTTCAGGTGGTCTAAACAAATTTATGCATGTGTAGGTACTGAAAATTGGAGACTATAGTTTCTCGAGACTTCGTTTTAGAAGTTCAGTAATCATTTTTATTTTCTTATATATAAACCTTGTTAAATATTTATGATAGTCACTATTTGAATATATTTCTTGTAGCCTTATGTTTCGTTAAATGTAAATGTTAGTATTCTTGGATGTTTATCTAAAAATCGTCCACGCCGATATCATGCATGTGAAAATGATTATAAAATATACATTAATAAAAATTCAGTTGTAGTCAGATCATTACCTTATCCAGAAATGGCTCTTTGGTATTTAACCTTAGAACATAATTGCAATGAGTAAATTTCCAACTAATAATTTTTGATTTAAATAATCTATGTTGAATTTAGTTCAAAGAATGTATGTGCTAATGCAACAATGTCAGTTACATTTCAAATATCATCATCACAATGTACTCGACAACAATGTGGAACATATGGTACTTGTAAAATAATGACATCTCAACAAAATATGTTCTCTGCTTGTACATGTATTGCCGGTTAGTAAATACTTAAAATCATCTATAATCAAATTAAACTATTTGAAGATGGTGCAATAGTTTTAAAATTTTCCTTCTTCTGAAGCTTCTATGTGCTGCCATTTTCACTATTCGATAATGAATATGTTTTTTATCTTTTTGTAATATTTCGATAAATTCAAACTGTCAATGTCAGTATGCAATAACTGTTTATCAGCGAGATAATCTATGAACCTATTTCATAGAGTAAATCAACATTTTTCACATGTTATTCTAATCCTTGCGTGATGCTATGTGCGATTGAATCAGATGTCTGGAAATTGAGGTTTATGGAAAGTGAATTCTGTTAAACATATAACCAATTCTGTATAGTACCTATTTGTCGCTTTCCTAGTAAAGAATATTGGTCTCTCACATCTACTCCACTTCGTGCGATAATGCACACACTTAACTTTCTCATTATAGATTTTTGATATTCATAGCCGATTATATATATTGATGAAAACAAAAAGATTTATCAAAGGATATATTACCCAACTATTCTCATGTTCGAAAATATTCATAACGATATACAGATAGAATAGATCAATAATTTTTCATTCAAAAATATCTCAAAATAATGAAAACAAATTCATTTTCATTTATGATTGTGCTTATATATTGGTCGTTTTAAGCCGAACGGAACATATACACCTTTCATTTGACGTGACTATTGATTAAAAATCAATTAGCAAGTATCTCTCTAATCATAAGAGAAAAAAGTTCGAAAACTTCACGATACATTACATGGCACAAAACGTATCTATAGTGGAATTTTCAGCACGATCGGACCCTTAAAGACGTTCTCTTAAACACCGGTTGTCTAGAGATCCTATTAAGTCTTGAAACAAAACATTTGCTTCTTACCATCATCTAAAAATCCTAACAAAAAAAGATTTGTACTGTAATTGAATTAGTTTTAAAATTCTCATTCTGTTATAAGAGTATTTTTCGTATCCTGTTGCGTCGCTAACAAATGATTTTTCCCATTTATTTTTTTCCACTTATACATTAAAATGAATACATTTTATTTAGGCTTTCGTGGATACGGTTGTACGGATAGTACACATTCGTATCTATCAAAATACTTACCAAGTGTTCTTTTTTTAACACTTAGTAATTTAATGTTTGTTCCAGCAGTGATATTAGCAACTTATTATCGTTTATATATTGAAGCATTGGTATATTTTTTTAATATGTTTTTTTCAACTGTAAGTGTGTTTGTTTTCTTCCTTTTTATACGAAAAGAAAAATTTCTCAATAAATAACTTTAGTTTTATCATGCCTGTGATCAAGAAATTCATAGATTTTGTATATTTAAATATGATGGTTTACAATTAGCAGATTTTATTGGTTCATATTCATCTTTTGTCATAACATTAATAACAATGTCCATTATTCCTCGATCAATAAAAGCATTTCTGTTTATGTTAGGTTTATTAACATGTGTTACTATAAATTCACGTGATCGTTTCGATAGTTTACAGTTTGTTGCCATAGTTGTTATTACGTTTACTTTTACTATTGTAACATGGGTATGTCGAAGAAAAAAAGGAGAAGATAAGGCTTTATTTGAAAAAATAATATTTAGATCGTTGTTTCAATTAAAAAACATCGTCTGCAACCATCTTTCAGACAACTTTTATTAATTGTACCTGGTGTTCTATTAGCCATAATTGGCATTATTTTATTTACTACTGTTGAAACAGACGATAATTATTGGTATGTACATAGTTTATGGCATATGTTAATGGCAATGTCGATCCTGTTCTTTCTTCCGAGAAAAATACGTAAGAAAGTATTCAAAATTTTGATAAAAATGTCATAAAAAGCCTCTTATAAATGAGAGGTTTAAGTCCGAGAAATGATCAGGTGAAAATCTCTTGTGTTTCTAAACTATATCATATGTATGAATCTATGTCATGAAAGAATAGAAATGAAGAAAAAGAAATTTAGAAGCTTCTCAATTAAAAAATGATCAAACAAATTTGAATATGCATTCAATTTCAATAAAACTTCGACAAGAGGAATCGATCGTTTTTTATTTAGTTTTCTGTATTATGAAAAATCTTTATAAGCACGTTAATATACATTTCGAAGTTATTTCAATATATGAAACTTCTTTGATACGTATATTCAATGTTAATCATCTTATAGTATGACATATAGAAACATTCGAATTTAACTAGTTGTAAGTGTTATTTTACTATATGAAAATTTTGATAAAAATAAAAATTCTATTTTTCGTAAAATTGAATATTTACTTTGAACGAATGAGCTTTATTCACAGTTTGCTTGTTGACCATGAATATATATAAAAAAAAGTGATCATATGCTAGTTTATCTATTTCTACGAGTAATCTCTTTTCTTTCACCTCTCTGTCTCGAACGTTTTGTTAGCATATGTTAGCTATGAGATTGAGAAAGATAGATGAAAGAAGGATCATATTTAGAAATAAATAAGCTAATGCGGTCACTTTTTGATACATGTTTGTGATCAACAAGCAAATCGTGAAAAAGGCTTATTTAGTGATGGACTTAGAAATAACTTGTAGGGGAGCTCTACTCTCATTTGAAGCCAAAAATAAAATATATTAATCTCTTAAAATATAGGAACGTTGTATTTTCAGAGAGGTGAGACCTGAGTCATCTTCTAGCTCATTGATTATTTTTTCGCTAAATTTTTTTTTCTTTTCAGGACAAAATACGCAAAACAAACAATCCAGTGAAATAAATAGAAATACACCTTATTCACCAGCTGGTATTATTAACGAAGGAGCGACGGTACCTATCGATGAACAAGATAATACTCATCAAACCAATTGATTTTTTTTCATAATTTTATGTGATCTTATTCACTATCACCTATCTATTTTTTGACAATCATTATTTTTTAATATTCTGTTTTTTTTCCGATGCATCTATTTTTGAAGAGTTCTAAGATGTCGCTAAATGATGAGCCTTGATGAAAAAAAAATTTTTTTTCTATAGAAAATGAAATTATTAATTTTATTTGTTCTACAATTAATTATTTATAAATAAATAAAAATAAATATTTTATAATGCTATCATTGGTTAATTTGGTTGCTGCATCGCACAATCACTTCTTTGTTTCAAATCAACTTCTAGCATCCCTCTCTGACACATTCACTATACGTGGCCCTATTAGGATTTAATAACATAATCTCCAATGATTTTATAGGTTGTCTGAAAAAAAAAATAAATTCTTTTTTTAGATTAGCAAACATGTGTACCTACCATGGAATATTGGAAGAATATCCTCTTATATCGATTGATTCATTTGAAACACATAATTATACAAGTACAATGTTTTTTATTACACATATTCATATGGATCATCTTGTTGGTCTCGAACGACCAGAATTTGGTAAATATGTTGCAAAAATTAATGCACCAATATATATGTCAGAAATTTCTAAACAATTACTAAGTACAATGGCACCATATAGACATTTAATACCGTATTTTAAATCAGTTCCGATTGATCAACCATTTGCATTAACAATACAATCAAATGATCCTGTACAAGCAAAGAAAAAAGAAGGAGCTAGTAAGATAAGAAAAAGAAAAGATCATTATATAATTCTTATTTTTCATCTTAGATCATGATAGTATAAAAAATACATTATCATCTCATACACCACATGTAGGTGAAACAATACTTGTTACATGTTTTGGTTCAGGTCATTGTCCTGGTTCAGTTATGGTTTGGATTGAAGGTGAACATGGAAATGTTTTATTTACAGGTGATTTTCGTCTTTATCGTGGACAAACAAAACGTATAACACATTTACATCGACGACGAACAGATGATGATGATAAAGATGAAACTTATATCTTTAAACCAATTGAGAATCTTTATATTGATATGACATTTTTTCGTCCAGATATTTTACATATACCAACACGTGAAGTTAGTTGTGAAGCACTTATTTTATGGATTAAAGGTTTAATAGCTGATAAATCAAATACAGCTAATATCTATTTTAAAACAAGGTATGAAACTATGATTGATGAAATAGAGACTAGGAGTTATGAGTTTTTTATTATCAAACCATTTTCTTTACCTTGTATTAGAAGACTCCGGGTTTCGATTGAGATATTGGTACAAGACATTTTGAGCGCCCTTTCACTTGGAACACATACTAGTCAATAGACCTTGAGCTTGTGAGTCTACTGAATTTCACTGTGAGTCAAAATGTCGACTCAATGAATGTTTGGAAAATGGAGCTCTATTGCATATTTTGAACGAACCAGAGTCATCAAAAATTCACCATAACCTCATCCAACATCATGTATTCGTTTGAGCTTTTGGCTCAAAGTAAGGTTCAGTAGGCTTGAAATCTCAACTAGAACTGTTGTGACTAATCCATGAGAGTCATCGAACCTTCTAATGATACCTTAGTGAACACTAAAAATTTACGCAGTCCTGCAAAGATTTTTGAAAAACAAATTCTTTTTTCTTGATCGTTTAACATTGACAGAAAATTTTCAACTCGTATCCTTTTTTTTTTACTTTCATTAATGTTTCATGAACATTTGATTCGTTACCTTCATTAAATATGATTGGTTCAGTTGAAGTTAGATTCTATCAAACAGATGTTTTTAAAAAGTCGACTCATGCGATTTTGACTTCAAGAATGTTTAAATCGTCAAAAAAAAAGTAAACTTCTTCCAATATGAACAAGATCATTAGTTAAAATGGGTCACTGTTGTAAAGTAAAAACTATTTTGAATAAGTTAACCAAGTGATTATTGACCAGTAGAAAATAGAGGTATAAGCCGACGGGACACAAAACTAGTTATTCGATTTCAAAATTCAGAAAATTTAAAACAAACTGCATCGATTTACACCTGTCGTCCGAAATAACTTGTTAAGATAGTTTTAAGGAAATTGATATAAACCTTCATGAACTTTGCAATGAAGCTATTTATTTATTTCATTCGGATTTCTTTCAAAGAGCGAATCTGATGTTACCCTGTTGTTTTTCATGCTAAATTAATCACTAAATTTTTCCTGACACAATAATTCTCAATCTAAAAATAGCCGCTAAATCTCTTTTGATTTATTCATAATAACATAAATTAATATACATATTTTTTTTTGTTTTTCTTTTTAGTGCTCGTGTTGGGTATGAACAAATATATCGAGCTTTATATGATGGTTTAGGAATGCGTATTCATGTTGAACAAGGTCAATATGATTTTTATTCATGTATACCAAGAATACAAGAATGTTTAACAACTGATCCTAATACAACACGTTTACATGCATGTCGTACATCAGCATCAAATTTTGCTCAACCCTGTGCTTTTTTTCGTAATTGTGATAAACCTATACGTGTACTTTTATCAATTATGTGGTTTACTGATCAAATAGCTGCAGGTAATACATTTAAAAGATATTTTCTTCAGTGAAATATTTTTTTTCTTCAGGCGAATTATTAGTTGAATATCATAAATATCATTCAAATTTTGAACAAAGTGTATCAACATCATCGAAACGTTATTTTCTTGGTTTTCAAGATTATGGTGGTGAAGGTGTTGATGTTTCTTATTCTGATAAATATTTAAGTTATCGTTTATGTTATTCTCTTCATTCATCATTTTCTGAAATAGCTGATGTATTAAAAACATTAAAACCAAAACATGTTACACCAATATCAACACCATTAACATCACAAATGACACCAAAACGTCTTTTTCAAATAATTGATCATTATATACAAGATCCAAACAAACCTAAAATAGCAACAACAATAAAATTAAGTGAAAAATTACAACGAAAACCAATTAATCACCAATTACAAATTAAATATCGTTATGAATCATTTCAAACTAAAGCAGAAAAAAAACGAAAAAAGAAAATTATCAAAGAACAACAAGAGAGAAAAAATAATGATGATGATTTAGATTTAGATATTAATGATGAAACTGAGAAATTACTTTTACAACGTGTTAATTCATTAAAAGAATCTAATAATAAAAAAGTCAAAACAAATGATTCAAAACAAATTATTCGATGTATGTATCGAAATTTCTTCAACTATATAAATTTATTGAAACAAATATTTTATTATTTAAAATTTTTCATTGAAATTTTAGCGATTTCATTCGACTTACTAAAATCGCAAGACCAAAAACCTGAATTCGAAAATGATTTACAAAAACCAAAAGTTGAACAATCAATAACTTCTGAAAATTCTCAATCAAGTCAGATACTTACTGTTGAATTGAAATCTGAAGATACATCAAATTCATTACTGGCCACAGATAATTCGAATTCTTCATTTACTAAAGATATTCTTCCAGATAATTTATCATCAGATATTATTCCAATAACAAGTGATCCATCTATTGAATTACCATCTACAGATGGTAATCGTCAACGTACATCGTCAGATGCATCATCAGCGACAGTTGATTATGATTTTGATACAGAAACATGTACAGCACTTACATCAAAATCTATTGATATCGATATTTAAATTTTTTTTTGTTTTTGTTTTTGTTTTTGTTTTTGTTTTTTAAATAATTATTTAATTTACATTGTAGATATTGTTGTTTTTTGTAGATCATGGGTTCCATAGCTTTAACCGTTCTTACGTTAACTCTTGGAATGTTTTTTATATTTGTGGGTCAATTTAAAATTACACCAAAATTTTTCCCTGACGTACATGAAGATATGGTAAATAATAATTTGTTTTTTTTTTGAATCATTTTTTGTCTTATATTTTATTTTAGCGACGTGAATTTGGTCGTGTTAATAAAGTATTTCCATTTTATCAAATAACTGGTTGGCGTCCATTTGCTAAAAATTACCGATTAGCTGTTGGTATTGCTGAAGTTGTTTGTGGAGCTATTTTAGTTCTTATACCAGGTTAGTTTAGAAAATTGTGCAAAAGTTTAACAACAAGGTTTTTTCTCTATAAGTCCAAGCGCTTAAATCATATTCAAATGATGTTTTTAATAACCAATGGAGTTTTCAAATCCCAGAAGCTACTTTTTAACAATGCAATTTTAAAGAAGAAATCGCCGCCTTTTCTACGATCTTCCCTTAAAGGGTATCCTACTGCCTTTTGGCCATTTCTAATTTGCGAAGAGGGTGTCACTGGTCTGTAGGGATTTTTTTAATTGCACATAGAATACCTTAAATAAGGACGCGTGTGTTCGATGATAAAAGAAATTGTAACTCCTTCAATACGGACAGATATGTACGTAGTAGTTTTAAAATCAACTTGCAACTGAGCTATGATTGCCTCTGATAATACTGTTGGGGTGAGCATGGCTCTGTTTATCTTTATCTATTTCTTTGCTATCCTTATGAATTATTGCACAGGAGAAATGACTCACGAGGAAACATTCCCAACTGTCATATCGTTTTTGAGTCAAGCGTATGCGCATCATGCAGACCCTAATGTTCTATGAATACTCTGAAAAAATCTCATGCCGCTAGCTTATTACTGCCGAGATATTGCATTTTTACTGTATGTTTAAGAAAAAAAAGCTGTGGTTCCCCCTCAGGAACACTGGAAAAATTGAGTTTTGAATTTCAACTTGAAACTGTGCACAGAGACAGGCATCAATGAGAATAGTTTATTGTGAAAGTTTCAAATCGTTTGATTGCTTCTAGTCTGAAATAAGAACATCGATATCTGCTGGTGTATGTCAGCGATATTACCATAGCTGTATCTTAGGATAGGAACAACGAAAATATCTGAAACTTTTACAATAAACTATTCTCATTGAGGCCTATCTCTATGCAAAGTTTCAAGTCGAAATTCAAAACTCAGTTTTCCTAGTATTCGTGAGGGGGATCACAGCTGTTTTTGCTTAAGCATACAGTAAAAATGCAATATCTCGGCAGTAATAAGCTAACGGCACGAACTTTTTTCAGAGTATTAATAGATGATTAGGGCCTACATGGTTCGTATACGCTCGACTCAAAAGCGATGTGACCTTCGTAATCGAAGTTTTTACATCTGCTCTAAACTTTGACCACCTTGTTTTACATAAGAACCGAAGCTTTTACATCTATTAGAGCTTTTGTTTTCAAAGAGAGATCAGCATTTTTCCTAGAGCCCTATTGGTTGTTCACTAACTCTAATCATTCAGAAAAAACATCAATTTCTCGGAAATGCTTTGTTATATACGCATGAAAAGTTTCTCATAAATCTATTATAATGCGCTCTATGTGATTGTAGAATTAAAGCGACTTTATTCTACATGATTGATTTTGCCAGTATTTCATTTTGTTGACATAGATTGTTTTTTGAAAATTTACTTTCCGAACTATAAACCTGCAAGTTATATTGATAATTTTTTTCCAACAGAGTACTTATCTTTCCCTATCAAATCATGTCAGAAAAAGTTCGTTACCTTTAGAGAAATTTTTAGTAAATCCAATAAGGTCTTCTTCGATTTTTCTGCATTTGTAGTTTCAATGAATGTCATTTGTTGATAGTTAGACTTTGTTTTCGTAGCAGTGGAAATTCAGTTTGTTCATAAACAATGACATAGTCATGCATTGACAAAGTGACTCACCATAGTGCCGAAAAGTTACTTTTGTGCTCTTTCATATTATTCAGATTTCTATGCTGGAATCTCATAAGGATTGGTTTCACGCTATCTCTTTGTCGATTTTTCTAAGTTTGTAGTCACATGGAGGCTATACAACATATCCGATTATTCTCAAAACTACCTCCGTTCTGAAGCGGTTAACCAAGATTTTTCGAAAAACCCTGATTTTGTATAGGTCTATATCGAACCCACATATGACTTCTGTCATCCAAGTTTATCGAATTTTGAACACCAACACTCCAAACTTGGATCCGAACGTTTATGAATTTTTTTTCCTTAAAATAAAAGAAAACAAAGTCATCGAAAAAGCTTAAAATCACCTCTGAGACACAGTTTAAAGTATCTCCAAAAATATGTTTAAAATCGTTTTCCTCAAACATAGGTCTTCTTATTTTAGATGCTCTATCTGTGATAAACATTTCATGCGGCTCCTTTATACACTTTTTGAGAACCAGAAATAGTGGAAACGAAGGATAATGCTCTTAAGGAAAGGTATTAGAAAATGTGACGACTGCCCATTTTGTTCTCTTTAAAACTACATTTTATCAAGAAAATTCTATTGACTACTATAATCACTATCTTGATTTTATCTAGGTGCTTAACATTATAGAACAATACATTGTTGTTAAACTTTTTTTTTCACGAGCTTATTATATACAAAAATGAAATAAAAATTTTGTTTTTCTCTATAGGTCGACTCAAACAATTGGCTAATGTAGTTCTCTTGATATTAATGTTAGGTGCTGTTTATACACATTATATATTACATGATAAATTTGAACGTATGGCACCTGGACTTGTGTTTAGTCTTTTATTGTTGACTCGTCTTATCATACATCGACAAGTAGCACAACGAGAGAAAGGTTTAAGTGCAGAGAAGAAGCCAATGAAATCAGAAGAAAAAACAGAAGATGAAGATGTCGAACAAGAGTCGGATGATCAAGAGTCTCAAAGTGATGATGAAGATAAACAAAAAGCAACAAGTGATAAGAAAAAAGAAAAGAAGAATAAATAACATGTTTGACTCAAATTGAATTTAATATTGTAACTTGTGCATTTGTGTTCGTTCGTTCTTTCTTCTTTTTTTTTATACTATACTCAAAAAAAAAAAAAAACAAAATTAGCTTTCTGTCTGCTTAGTGTTTCATTACTTTAGATGTCTCATAAACTCTGGTCACCACCTTCAGGCATTCATACAAATATTGATGATTTTCGACATATTATTGTAAAGAAATATCAAGTTCCATTGGGTATAAAGATTTCTTTTTCGAAACGATGAGTTCATATTTGATAAATTTAGAAACATATTGGGGATTATATGAATGGTCTATAAATCATATTTCAAAATTTTGGGAAGAATTTTGGTTATATATTGATATTAAATATTCAGTACCATTCGAACAAGTAAGTGAATTTGATATAAGACTTATTTCATTTCCATCATACTTGATATGAACAATAATTATAAATTAAAACAAAATCTAGATATTGGAAGAGAACAAGAAAATGGATGAAATTCCTCGTTGGTTTTTGGGTGCACGACTTAATTATGCTGAAAATTTACTTCGTTTCAAAGATAATCGAATTGCTATCTATGCATGCAGTGAGTGAACAAACTCAAATAGTATAATGTCTAAGAAAGTTCCAAAGTTTTAGTTATTTAATCTAAATATATTGTTAGCCAAGGTAAAAAAAGAATGAATTGTCATATAATTTAATCTACTCATTACTGATCAGCTTCTTATTCTAAATCCAGGATTCATCAGTGAAACTTTTGCTTTTACAAAAGACCTTATTTTCATCGATGTTGTTTTAAACATTGGTTATTTTTTATAGGTGAAGGAGATCCATCAATCAAAACAATGACATTTGCTGAATTAAATGAAAGTGTTCGTCGTTATCGTGCAGCACTTCAACATGTCGGTGTTACAGTGGGTGATCGAGTTGCAGGTACTTAAATACAAATTCTTTAAGAAAAATTCAATTATATAATATTTATTATTTTATTTTATTTTTAGTTTATCTTCCCAATAGTGCTGAAGCATTAATTATTTGTCTAGCAACAGCTAGTCTTGGCGCGATATTTAGTGCAGCATCAGCAGATTTTGGTGTACTTGTATGTATTATATTGACAAATCATTTTTTTTTTTTTGAAAACTCATAAGCTTATATTTTTTTTAGGGTGTTACTGAACGCTTCAGTCAGATTGAACCTAAAGTAATATTCGGTTGTAATGCTGTTGTTTACAATCGAAAAATTCACGATGCATTAGTTAAACTAAAAGATTGTGTACTTGGTAAGATGAATGTATAAATATTTTCTATGAATATAAATATACATATTTTTCTTTTAGCATTACCAACATTACAACATGTTGTTGTTATATCATATGTATCTAATTATTCCATGGATCTTAGCGGAATTCCAAATAGGTATTAGTTATATTTTCATTATATTTTTATCCAAGTAAATTTTAGTGTAACTATTGAACAATTTCTTTCAATGCCTGGTGAAACTATTGCACCACTTGAATTTGAACAAGTTCCATTTAATCATCCATTATTTATTATAAGTATCGATTTTGAAAAAGTTTTCTTATAATTGCGCTATTTTTGTTTGATGTGTTTACATGTATTCATCTGGTACAACTGGTGCACCAAAATGTATTGTTCATGGACATGGTGGAACATTAATAAATCATTTAAAAGAACATCGATTACACAGTAATATGAAAGATGGAGATATTTTATTTTATTTTACAGGTAAAATAAAAATAATTCATTGTATTAAGATATATTTAAAGATTGAAAAAAAAACATTTGTTTATTTTAGCTGTTTCGTGGATGATGTGGAATTGGGTAATGATGATATCATATTCTTTGTTTTTTTTTCAATCAATAATTATATATATATATATATTAATTTAGCTAATTTCATCGATTGCACTTGGTACACCAATTGTGCTTTATGATGGTTCACCAATCGTACCAGATTACTATCGACTTTGGGATTTAGCTGATGAAATCGGGTAGAGTTATTAAACATATGTATAGAAAATGAAAAACCTAATGTTTAATTTCAAATATAATTATATGAATGTAGCTTGAAACTACATGAAAGACTAAAAGTGATTCTGTATATTTCGAAGTTTTCCTCAATAACAATCTACCATATACATATATATTTGACTAATTGTTGGAATATCCTGTCATCTATAGAGTTTGAGTGTAGATCGTGGTAAAAAGTAATAAATAAAGACAACTAATATGATATTAGTTTGAAACACAACCATGAAAAATTTCTTCAGCTATAATGAATCTTACATAGATACGACGCTTCCTAACTTGCTCTATCAAATGATAAAAATCCGACCTTGATAGCTTTGAACAATGAAGAGTTATTGAAAAAACAGTGTAGAACATCATATTTTTAGATGGACAGCACTTTTTAGTAAACGACAGTGTTTTTGAAAAAAACTCACGTCAAGACAATAAATATACTCATAGGTGACTTAAAGAGTATTTCTTTTTGGCCCATACTGTTTTACTTAAACTCTAGCCTATAGCATGATACATACGAATGAATCAAATGAGGATATTTTGCCTATAGCTAAGTTTGCTGATAACTATAGAGTGTCCTCAAAATTTCAGCTCAAACAGCGTTCCTTTCATGAACTTTTGAATTCCGATAAGTCACTCATAATTCATGAAAGATTAGAGAATTGAATGCCTTTTGGAAAATCAAGATCTTGTAAAGGTAACATGTTTTTGAATTAAGATTTTCAGGATATAATAGTTGTAAATAGACCTATCCGTTGGCTAAATTTTAGGTCAAAATATTGTCATTTGATTCTTTTGTACGTAGTGTGTCGTAGGCTAAAACTCCACTGAAACGGCTGTAATTCTAAAGAGACGACCTAGGAATTCTTATCACTTTTTAGGAGATTTTTAAGATCTTGTTCGAGTGTATGTTATATACAGAGTCCAAAATTAAAAAACGATTTTCAAGTTATGATGGCTTCTTCGTTAGAAATTTATTTATATTTTTGATATAGATCTTATTTATGAGACAATTGTTCTGCTTTTTGTTGTATTTTATTTATTTTGATAGACTAATAGATATAAAAGAGGTTTAATTTCTATTTAGAATAACAATATTCGGCTGTAGTGCTCGTTATTTAACAGCATTAGAAGAACAACATATATCACCTCACACACATAATAAACTTAAAAAATTACATACAATTTTATCAACTGGTTCACCATTACACAGTCGAATATTTGATTATGTTTATACAAATATCAAAACAAATGTTCTATTAGGTTCCATAACTGGTGGAACAGATATTATGTATAGAATATTTTCTTGTTTATTATATAATTTCTCTCTTTTTTTTAATACCTCTTTAGTTCATGTTTTGCTGGTGTTAATCCAACATTGAGTGTTCATCGAGGAGAAATACAATCTCCACATTTAGCTATGGCTATTGAATGTTGGTCTGAAGATGGTATCAAAAAAAATTAGGTTTTTCTTTTTGTTCCATATTTCATGATACATTATTTGAAGGAAAAAAATTGGAAGGTGAAAGTGGCGAACTTGTTTGTGTTAAACCATTTCCTTCGATGCCTGTTAATTTTTGGAATGATTCAGATGGCGAAAAATATCGTCGAGCCTATTTTGATAAATTTCCAGGTATAATTTTCTATTGAATTGTTTTCAAAAATAATTTTTGCTTTATTTTATACAGGTATATGGAATCATTCTGATTTTTGTCTTTTTAATCCAGTTACTCGAGGCATTGTTATGCTTGGTCGAAGGTTCGTCTATTAAAATTTTGATTTTTTTTTCTCTTTTCAAAAATCAAATCATTGTTTTTAGTGATGGTACTCTTAATCCTAATGGTATTCGATTCGGTTCAGCTGAAATTTATTCCGTTGTCGATCAATTCAACGGTGAAATTCTCGATAGTTTATGTGTAGCACAAAGAAATCCTTCAACTGGCAATGAACGAGTTATACTTTTTCTTAAAGTAAGTAAACAAAAAAAAGAAAAAGAAAAACAAAGTTGACGAATATTCCTTCTTTATTTGAATACGTAATGTTTGATGAATTGATTAATAGAAAAAGAAAAATTCATGACAAGATACAATTGAAAGCAACACACAAAATTTTTAGTTTGCTGTTTTTAATCCTAAACAAAATTCTTATATATTCATCAATCGATTAATTCTATATCGTCGTCGAATATAAGAATTTCTTGGTAATTCCTTGATATAATAGTTTAAATCCAAACCATCATTGTCATCTTCATCATAATTATCATCATTGTTCGATTTGTCTAATTGAGAATAAATGTCATATAAAGGACTATCTCGACGAACAAGTTTAATTTTAAATGCATCATAATAGTCTTTAATAGCTTTAAGATAATTTTCAATTTGTTCTCTTGTTTTAAAACGTATTGGTCGTTCAGGCGGCGGTGGAATATCAAGATAAGATGATAGTGCACATGAGACAAGTGCAACAAATAATAGAAAAACCACGCATGTATTGTTCATTCTGAAAAAGAAAATAATCTAGGTGTTTGTCCTTTTATTTCTTACACTTACTTGAATGAAGAAAAATGATACAAGATTCTTTCAATAAAATATATAGTCAACTACGCTTCTTAGTATCAATTAGATGAAGGATATTGTCAAAATAAAGAAGAAATCCTTTATGAAATGAATCTTGTCTCTTCTATGAATATAAATACATATAGATATATATTATTTGATGAATATAGTGAATTATAAAAAAACAAATGAAGTACAAGTCTAGTCACGCTCTCTATATATTATTTTGATTTAGATTATCTAAGTTACCATTTCTTATTCAAATTTATGCAATCTTAAGTTAAGAAAAATCTAATTCAAATGATTGATTATTGCTTCTCAATCTAATGACAAATTCATTTATTTTATGCTTTTTTTTTTTTTGAATTAGAAATATATGTCTGAGAGGCTGGTATCATAAAAATGCAACTACATTTAAGTAAAAAACTAAGATCTAAATTCAGAACTTGTTGACTTGATAAATTTTATTCTTCTAAATAGTATCCTTATCACAAAAGACAACTGAATATTGAAAAAAATGTTCTTTGTCGAAATTACGTTCGGAATGACGAATTAAATTTCTATAAAAATAACTAAATGATTAATAATCTTACATAATGTTTTTTATTTGAACTTAGAAAATACGTTACAGAAATATATTAAGACAATCACATTATTTTCTCCTTGAATATCTTTTAAAATTACTTTCTATGTCAAATAAGATAATCGATAAAGCATTTGTATACTTTTCGAAGAAGGAGAGAAAAGGTTATGAAGAAATAGACGTGATAAAATTATCTTCTGTCAGCTTACAAAAAATACTGCTTTCAGTGAATAATCGTCGAATAAGAAGCTGGTTCCATTTATCATATTTATAATTTAAAAAAGTGTCTTTGTCATAAATAAGGAAAAAAGTCGTCCTGAGTATCGTTAATCAACTAGAGCCGTGAAGATGAAACACCCCTGATAGTATTTTTAAGAAAGGAGACAGACAAACATTAACGAATGCCATATAAAGACTAAAGCAGCGTCATTTTGATTTTGCGAGATTCTCAGAAAATATATCAGTAGAAATATTATTCTTAGCCAAAAACTAAATAGAAAATTTTCTGCGGTGCAAGAATATAAATCTGCTGACCGAAAAAATAATATAATGAGATACAACGGGATACAAAACTCGGTACGACACGTTCTGCATAAAACAGATTCTACTCATCTCATTTGAAGAATTTTATCGAAGAATATGTCAACAGCAACTCTTATCTATGAATAAAAATATCCAACGAGATTGATTCTATTATTCAAAGTAAACAAGGTCAAAAAACAGCAGAATTCGTAAAAAAAATTTCTGTAGAATTATTAAATAAGATCAATAAACAAATTTTAATTTCAAGAATCGTGTGGGACATGTTAAAGCATAATGTAAAATGAAAAAAATTTGCCAGGAAACCTACATTAAAGCTTCCTTTGAATTGAAAGTAGAAAAGATTATTTAATTGGTAGATGGCTCGTACATAGGTGAAAAAATGAATTACTTACTTTGTAATAAAAGCTTTTTCAATGAAACAAATTTGAGCGAAAGCAACAAAAAACTTGAAAAAAAAAGCGTTATAATGTGCACTAACCATTTTCGTTCCTCTTTACATTTCACTTTGCTGCCTACGAAGATACTTTTTTTTTAATAAGGCACATATTTTCGTAGAATAGAAGATTATTGTTTTCTCTTGTTGAAGAATGAGTTTTTCTCTGAAAGTTCCTAAGAGTCTCATTTTTTTTTAGCTACCATCTGTCAAATGTTGTCTGATCAGAATGAACTTGAACATAATGAACACTACTAAGCGATACATAACTATCTATATGCTACTTTATTGAAATAAAATACTAAATAGAATTACATAAGTGCAAGATTAATTGTCGGAATAAAGATTTACAATATGTTCAATAATTTGTGTGTCAATACCACGAAAGACAAACTTGATATAGTTTTCTGCTATACTGGCTTAATTGAAAAAAAGCTAACCTTTGATTTCAACAGATATTAGTAATTCTATTATGATAAGAAAAACATATGAAAAGATATTTTTATATCAGAAAGTAACAGTAATCGATTATTAAGATCCACGATAATAGCTTTACAATTTTACTAGCTAACAGAAACTATCGATTAACCTACCTTTCAAAATCAATCGATTTATAAATTAATAAACTCTTATATGTCTGTATAGATACGTAAAGTGGTTTCTAAGATAGATAAATACCAAATGAAGGTTTTAAGTATAAAACCTATTTATTGATGACATAAAATATGATGTTCTTAAGAAAATATTTTCTCGTATGAACATAGCTATTTCTTATATACTACCTATTAAAAAAATTATGGAAATGACTTTGTAAATTGCTGTTTAATTATATATTTCAACGTAAAAAAATTACACGCTTTAAATGAAATACAAGTTTTCTTTCTTCTAATTGTTAAACATAGATTTATTAAAATATAGCACTATAAAAATAAAAAATATTCTTACCGTTTCAAACAAGTCATCATTGTCATATCTTGCATATCTATGTATTTGTTGTAGTTTTGAATGATGATTGTAGTTCGTGAGAAGAGCGAGTTTTATTGAATGCGAGCAAAGAAATGTATGAACAATTTATATTGACAGTAAGCTTTTTTTCCAGCAATTACTTATCTAAGTCATGAACAGAACATGGATCAACTCTTAAAAAGGAAGAAGAGATTTTTTACATTAAATACGTGGGTGTCATACGCACTTCAACTAAACAAGTCATGTCGGAAACAGAGATGAGACATTTAACATACATGATTGATTTCTTTAGAATTTAATTTTTTATTTTCATTTCTTATTTTAGCTTCCAATGGATGTAAATCATCTAGAAAAATCACTTGTTGATCGAATTAAAACAGCTATACGACAACAATTATCAGCAAGACATGTTCCGGAAGTGATTTTACAAATACCAGAGATTCCAGTAAATATATTTTTCTTATTAATTTTCAAAAATGAAAACGGATAGAGTTTTTTCTATTGTCAATAGCAAAAAGCATGAAAAGACTACTATTATTTCTCTGGAGCTACAACTTTGATTCATGCCAATGATTTCCTTTGATTAATATTGTGAACTTCTTTAATAATTAAAGTCAATTAACTAATGTTTTTCTTTTAAACAATAAATGAAGTTACCGAGATGTGCTCTAAAAGAACCTGTTTTGAAATACGAGACGTTTTCTTTTACTGTTTCTTATTAAATTATATGTTATTCTTTTTGAGGCCAAATTAAATTTAAAGATTTTTATATAAATCAATCTTGAATAAAATTCTCTATTATTAGAGAAGAATAGATTAGTTAAATTAAGCTATATTTATAGACTACGATGGATTATAAATTTTAAAACCTATTTGTTAATTTGGAAAACAAGATTACTTAAATCCTTTTAGAGATTAGATCATTAATTTGACATAAAGATACGTATCGTCAAATAGAACCAATAGATTTGAAGACGGAAGAAACTACAAGAAATTTTGTTTATGTTTTAAATTTGTTTTATCAAAATGATATTGTAACTGTTGATCTTCACGCTATATAGTTTCTAAAAATATCAAATTGACAAGTACTCTTTCTTTATTCTTTCTTTATCAACATGAAAAATTGCTATTTTTACTTATGTATTATTTAATGAAGTAATACAGGAAATGAAAAGAATGCGTGATCTTGAAACATCTATTATTTCTTCTGACTTTTACTTAATTAAAATCAAAGAAATACATATTAACAAAAGTACTATTGAAAATAGATTAACTAATCATTCTATATATTCTTATATTTTAGTATACAATTAATATGAAAAAAGTTGAAGTACCTGTTCGTCGTATAATTGAAGGCAAACAAATTCATGCAACAGGGTCATTAGTTAATCCAGATTGTCTCGATTATTATCGTAATATACCTGAATTAAATAAATGGTAATTAACAATTTTAATCTCATAGTTTGTTATTCCTTTTTTTCCTTGTTGTAATGGTAATAGGTTGATTTTTTTTTCTTCTTTTTCTTCCATGTCATTTACTCGGATTTACAATAAACAAAATGATATTTTCAAATTTTGACTCTTTGAACAAGATATAGATTGACAAGATTTTCTTATATTGGTATTATAAACGAAGAATAAATGGTTATTATTTTCGCTTTGTGTGTGTGTGTGAAAAAGAACGATAAAAGTTGTATATATACTCTTGATTACAGCGAAAAATCTTGTTTATCAAAACAAAAACACTACAATAATAGATATATATGTATATGTACTTCAATTTAATCCTAAACATGAATAGATTAATTAGTATTTGCTATTCTTACATCATAATGTTCTAATATTATGTGTATTTGATTACTTCAATCTGATGCTATGTATATCATCTTAATTGTTTTTTAAAATCTATCAAAAATGCAGTTTTTCTTA